CCAACACTGGTGTCCTGGAATCACTAATCCTACACAGAATATTCCAAAAAAGAAGAGCGAGAGTAAGCCAGCAAAGCTAGTAGTCATCGCAAAGGTAGACCTACCTGTCTCTATCTATCCGTAGGCCTTTAAATAAAGAGACACTCAATTCATCTGTGTTTATGGAAGTGCTAACCAACGTCTGATGGTTGGATCTTGTCTACATGACCACCTGCATTTTGGTGTCCATGGCCAACTTTAGGTTGTCATTCAACACGGGTCCTTAAGGGCACCCATAGACATTAGTTAAAAGTCAGAAGGTTCTAGCAGTCTTTCAACTGGCACCACATTTATGACTTGTCAATGAAGCTTGCAAATTGGCGGGGTTAGATATCTTTGTACATCCGTTGCATAGTGCTGCATGTGCATGGAATGCCTGCCTGCAAAAAGGACTAGAGAATTTTTTCTATTTTTCATGTTATGTGTTGATAAAACATGATTTAATGTAATATTGGTACTGTTGGTATAAGTACCTGAAACTTTGCCCTTATTGTAACCTGCATTTCAGTCCTGGTGCGCTTCCAGTTAGGCGGCACTGAAAGAACTAGTGATCGTTTGCTTTAAGCTGCACAGTCACTAAGTATTACATCCTCAGCACAGAATGACATTTGTGCCTGTGGAGAATGGGGATAGCAAGGCCACGCACTTGCTATGGATGTGGTCTAACAGTGCTGTCATAGCACAGCGGAAGCTGAGCATGAAATCATGTCAGTGGCAGGTTTCCTGGCAGCTGGAGAAGAGGCTGACAGGGTTTCCTGCTTACACGCATCATGTCCAGTGTTCTCTCCACAACTTCTAAGCTGACTTTCTGCCGTCTCTCCCTAGTGGAACCCAGACAATGAAAGGTATATATAGATATTAGCAGGGCTGGACATATTCCAGGAGCCAGGTAGCCAGTAAAAGAAATGACCGATGTTGGCTAACATTTTGGAGCCTCATCTGTTGTCAGTGGAAGCTTGCAGTCCCTGGCCCATTAATGTACACCTCTGATTTTGAAGGAAATATTACAAAAAGGAGGTTTGGGAATGTGAGTATTGCTCCTTTTTTTGGCATTTATGAAGGTTTTCTGGTACTTGAAAAAGTTAGTGTTAAGCCCCATATCTTGTACCAACAAAGCCACGTTTTTGTGTACCATTATGCTAAGTATATGGCAGTAGTAACAGGCAAGCCACAAGCAAGTGCACAGGATCATGTAGGCCCCAAAGAGGATCAAAGAACCCCCGGGAGCTATTAGCCATATTGGCACACTATGGCAAACTTGCCTGACAAAGCGATCCCCTCTAGTGCTGCAGTGTCAGCACTCTTCTTCCTCGCTGGTGCTTCCCTCTTAGGTCTCGTTCACACCTAGGCGTATTGCATATGCGCGTCTGTCGTGCGTTTTAACGATTCGCGGTAAAAAAGTTGCTCGACCGTCGCGCGTTTCCGACGGCTACTTGGCTGTATCCCAATGGAAACGTGCAACAAAACGGCCCAAAGTAGTACATGTACCTTTTCAGGCGTGGGCCGTTTTGTAGCGCGTTAGGGACGGGCGGAAATACGCCAAGGTGGGAACGAGACCATTGAATACAATGGGATTTATATTTTTGAGCGTTTTGTAGAGCGTAGAACGCGCTACAAAACGTTCAGGTGTGAACGAGGGCTTAGGCCCCATTCACATGTAGCGACTTATCGCGCATTTTTGCCGCGCGATATCGCGAGAAGTCGCCGGCTAATGGAGGTGTCTTAGCTCCATGTGGCTCGTCGCGGTCGCAAGTCGCTTCTACAGGACCCTTTTTTCGGCGGATTTTGCTTTTTTTCTATGGAGCCCGACGGAGAAGGTCGCGCTACCGCCGCTGGAACGTCGCCCCGAAAGTCGCGCTATCCCGGCCGCTGCAAAGGTATGTCGCTACATGTGAATGGGGCCTTAGTCCCGGTTTTCTTCCGGGATCAGAGTTTTTGGCCACTTGACTGGCCAGGGCCAGACGAGGTAACTCGTGTGCACAGGAATAACTTTGTCTTGGCAGGAATCTTGCCAAGTTTGTGCACTGAGTAGAAAAAAATAGTGCTAACAGGAAAATAGGCGGATGTATGACAGAAGAGACCTTTAAAAACACTTGGAGGAACTCTACCCAAATCTTCAAAATAACAACAAAGGTAACTTTTGAAAAGGTCTATTGACAATCTACAAACAGATACTTCTGGATAATTGCCGGCTTTGTATTCTTTGCATACCTTATTTTTCTTTTCTCCCCCAGTCTTACAGTGGCCATTTTAACTAAAGGCAGGTTACTAGCTCTCCCTTTACTTCCTGGAACATGTGACTAGGACAGGTGACCATGCACATCATCTCATGGAAGGAAAATGCCTTTCCCTGAGATCTCATGAGATTACGGGTGAAATTTCCGAGCAATGCTCTGCTGATGTATCCTTCCCAGGATGCAATGCTTTGGCACAATTACATTATTTGTTCCAAAGTGGACCAGGAAGTGGGAAAAAAAGAAATTGTTCATAAAATAAAAATATGTCCGTTTAATAAATGTGAGATGATTTTATATCAGCATGCAGAGCTGTATGCTGATGTGATTTTTAGTCAAAGGGGGTAAAGGTCAACTTTAACACCCAATTGAAGTCACAGAAATAGATATGTAGTCACTGGGCTTTGTACTAACCTCCATTTTCCTAGTCTTGCCTCCACTATCCTGTTCCAGCTGTTCCAGTTGCAGTACATCAGCGCTCCTGTGCGGTCATCCAAAAGTTCGGCCACCCGAGGGCAAAACATGCAATCTCTTGACATGTTGTGCTGTTGGATGGGCGCACCAACGCTTTTTGGAGAACTTGATTCCGCTGTTTGGTGAACTCGTAGGTGCCCTGACAGGGGTTGGAGAACTTGATGGGGATTGTGAAGCCATACAGGTGCAGTGACGGGAGTTAGATGACTGAATGACAGCGATACGGCTGGCAGAAAAATGCCATCTGGTCTAAATCTTCTACTTTCTAACTACTGGCAAGTCGCCAGATGTGACTTCACCAGTCGGAGAGATCTCAACGGGTCGGAACCTGTGACAAAACACCGGCTTGATGTTCTTTGCATAGCTTATTTTTCTTTTCCTCCACATTCTTTTCACAGTGGCCATTTTTTTTTTACCAAGGTAAAAAATTTTCTATCTCCCTTTTTCTTCCTGGAACTCTGGCACATGTGACTAGGGCATGTGACCATGCACATCATAAAGAGAAGTACCTTTCTTTGCAATAGTTCTCTTTAGGGTCACAGGAGGACAGTGCAGATACGCTCTGGAGCCAGGACGGCACCCGATCTTATTGGTAGAACCATCTGTGCCCACTCCTTCCCCCCCATCCGTCCCTCTAGTCAGATCTGGAGGAATGGAGAGGGGAGGGGGGAATCCCTGCGGGGAGCAGTAAGTGAAAGACACCACTCTCTGCAGGGAGAAAATCAGAAACTGAGAGATCAGTGGTTTGTGATCGCCCAGTTCTCGATCAATGGAGCCGAGGTGTGACAGATTCAGTGTCCCACGTCGGCTCTAATTATGGGGATGAGTGTATTTCACTCATAATTCTCCTTCAACTAATGAATGTAAGATGCTTTCATGCCAGCATGCAGAGCTGCATAGTAAAGTGATTTTTAGTGAAAGGTCCACTTGAAAGTGTCTGTCTTCTAGGTTGGATTGTTTGGAACTGGACTCGAAAAGCTTTGCAAAGGAAAGGGTGATTTTTTTTTTTTACAGAAGAAAACAGTCAACAGGAGCGTTAGTCACTACAGAACAGCAAAGCCACTGATTTCATTCAGCTTGCTAGCTGGAGTATAAGCAGGGAAATCCCCATCGGTCCTCCAGTGGGGATAGATGCGGGACTTTCCATTTTCTGCTTGGGAGTAGAAAACCTCTTTAAATGTTTCCATTGTTGTCATTGGGAGCTTGTTTACTTTGGATCTAGATTGGACTGTCTGGTCCCTAAATTCCCCACATATGTGCCAATCCCACATTGAAGTTAAAGTTGACCTCCATCATCTCTGTTGCATTTTTCTCTTTGCTAAAGAACTCTTTTTAAGATGTTGAGTTTTTATTCAAGGCATCTACATGAGTGGCATCTACATGAGTGGCATCTACATGAGTGGCATGTATACATGAGCGGCATGTATACATGAGTGGCATGTATACATGAGTGGCATGTATAGATGAGTGGCATGTATACATGAGTGGCATGTATACATGAGTGGCATGTATACATGAGTGGCATCTACATGTGGGACAACTATTCTCCATTATAATTGGCCATTAATCTCCGTATCTGGGTACAAATACCGTAATACCTCGGTTTACGAACGCTTCTGTTCACGTACAATTTGGTTCGCAAACAGTAAGTTCGGTAAAATTTTGCTTCCGTGCGCAAGCTCCAAATCAGGTGACGAACACGACCGCGGCCATCTTCCCCCGCTTTGACACGTGGCCGTGGCTTCCTACAGTCGAGATCGCGGTCGCAGACAGACCTGTGCATACGTGGCCACCTTATGGGGAAATTTGATTCGGTTTGCGACCAGAATCGTGGAACGAATTCAGTTCGTGAACCGAGGTATCACTGTACCTGTATCCACTAATCGGTATTGCTTTAAATATAGAGCAGATGTTGGTAGGAATGGTTTAGAGATGAGAAGATGAGATGATTGCTGATGATCGTGCTCTTCACTTGGCTGATTCTGTAGTGTGTGTTCTAAATATTTGGGTCTTTCAGATATGACAATTTTTAGGAGTGTTTTTAATAACGATACAGAATACAAGTTAGGGCCAGCAAATGCTCGTTGCCCAAGCACCAGCTCTAATTTTCTTGCCATATTGGCTTCTGACTTCCAGGACTTGTTTAGCCCCAAATACCATCTGTTTTATCTGAGAAGGTATTTTTTTGTAATTCCACATTATTTGTTATCTAGTGACCCGCTAATGTGTTTTTTATTTTCTTTTTTCCCCCAGGATGGACTCAATTCTTTGGTCCTTGATCTTGACTTCCCTGCACTGCGAAAAAACAAAAATATCGACAATTTCCTCCATAAATGTGAGTAAATGTCTTACTTAAATAGCTAATGTGTCTGGTGGTGTTTGTGCTGTTTATAGCTGTACTGTTTGCACTAAAAAGAGCAAAATTCAAAACAACTCAAATAAATCTTTTATTATACCTGATACTTTAGTATGCAACGTTACTGCAGTTACTATCCACGGAAGCCCTCATTCACTCCTATATTTTAGGTGCGATTAGTGATTCCTGCAGCAGGTATACCCAATCTGCCGTTTACAAGCGGCAGTTGTCACCCATTCAAGGTAATGATCGGGTGACGGCCCCTGCATTTGAAAGCGGCAGAACGCTGGCACACCGCATGTAATCAATCCGAATCCATGGATGCACGATTGATGTGTCCAGGGATAGTGAATGATTACTAACTGCATGTAATCCTATCACATACAATCACATGCAGTGTGCCGGTGTTTTGCCACTTACAACTGCATTAGCTGTCACCCGATCATTAACTTGAACGGGTGACCGCTGCCGCTTGTAAACAGATTAGGGATTCCTGCTTTCTGACGCAGGAATTACTAATCGCACCTAAAATATAGGTGTGAATGCAATCTTAGGCTGGTTATTAAATCATAGAAATCTCTCTGATAATGGGGTGTGTGTGTGTGTATATGTAGATAGATATATATCTATATATAGATATATATCTATATATGATATATATATCTATATATGAAATATATAGATATATATATCTATATATAGATATATATATATATATATACTCTGAGTGGCCAGATTATTAGGACCACCCCATCAGTACTTCGTTGGGCCGCCTCGTGACTCCACGAGATGATGAAAGGTGATGCGAGGAATCTGACACGGTGCTGTTGCCCTTCTGTTGTCTTGTACCAGTCTTGCCACTCTCTGTTCTGCCCTAACATTGACTAGTCGCTGACGGCCACAATTCGCACGTTCAGACCCAGATTTTCGGCTGACAGTCCAGTCTTTAAACACTTTAACAACAGCTGCTCTTGAACATTTAACGAATTCTGCTGTTTTGCTGATACTCGCTCCATGGCTCCGAGCGCCAACAATCATCCCACGTTCAAAGGCTGTTAAATCGCGTTGTTTACCCATATCTTCAGAAAAAAATCACTTCTACTGTCGTGGTAAACAACCTGCTTCCCTATTTATAATGGTCTGGCCCTCTAGCAACTTCAGCGCCAAATTATAGCTAATTATAGCTAATTTGCCTACAAACGTCAGGTGGTCATAATAATCTGGCCACTCAGTGTATATTATGTTTTATATAATTTTTTTTTTAGGGATGCACTGAACTTTCAGTCTGCCGAAAACATATCGGCCGAAAATTGCACTTTTGGAAATTGCGGTGCATGCCTGGTTTTCCTCCTCCCCACTGGGCGCTGCTTTGTGTCCCCTCTGACCCAGTGCAGCGTCCAGTGTGGACGAGAGAAACTGTCAGAGGAGGCTGTGCGGTGCGGGGAAGGAGAGCGCTATGAGTCGCGATGTCGCAGCAGGCCGGGCTCTCCTCCCGTACCACCCCGCTCAGCCTCCTCTGACCGATCAGGATGGACAGCGGGGTGGGGCGGACACAGCTGTGCTGCAGAAAAAGAGATTGTGGACTCTGTGTCCTTAATCTCTTTTTCTATTTTAAAAGGGAGATATCAGGGGTCTGTCTAGCCCCCTGATATTTCACCGATGCCCCCAGTAGTAAAGTAAAAAAATACAAATATTTAATAAAAATCAATAAATTAAAATATAAAAAAAAGGTTAGAAAAAAAGATACATTTTGTTTTCGGCCTGACATAATTTTTTTAACATTTTTGGTTTAAAATTTTCATTTCGGTGCGCCTCACACACACACATACATGGAATATTGCAGGCAAAGAGAAAAGTATCCGCAAGTTTGAAAATATTCCTGTGCAATAACCAATCAATCAGGCTGCTGAACATGCTTCTTCTTGCTTTTATTTATAGGAGAAATGGCCCTGATAATGATAAAACATTGTTTGCTTTCATTGAGCCATTTATGGACCACTTAAGAACTGCTGCAGAGAACCAATGCTGAGTTCTAAAAAGACACAGTATCAAAGCCTGCAGTCAGCTGAATATATTATTTATACATGCTTTATAACAGTACTTTTGAATGTGATCCTAATGCAAGGTCCTCTTTAATGGACCATGTGTATGGTTTATATCCAGTTTCTCTGTCATGGGGCTTGCTAAAAACAGGGAAGAGATGGGGTGTAGGTACAGTTCAGAACTTACCTGCATAGAGAATAAAATGGTGGTTCTTGTGGATTGGTATTTTGTGTCCCCATTGGTCTTATGTTGAGCTGGCAGCTGACATCTGTATCAGAAATGCACTATTTCTGACCTCTGCTCCCCTCTTAGCCTTGTTATAGGTCAGTGGGGACCGGAACACATTATCAAGCATTGATGACATTATCTTTCTTCAGATACATACCTTAAAAGAATATGGGTGTTCTTTACTAACCAATCTCGAATGGTGGTGTTTTCAGATGAAAAAGTCGTGGGTGATGTTCGAAATCTGCAGATGAAAGCAGAAGATTACGATGTAGTGAAAGTCATCGGCCGAGGGGCCTTTGGTGAAGTCCAGCTGGTAAGCAATGGTTTTACATGGGCCCCTGTACACTGCTGGGGGGTGGTGAGAAGATGGCTGTTCTGGACTCATGACTGATGGGAGGCATTTGATACTGGGGGCATGCTTTAGAACAGTGGTTCTCAACCTGTGTAACCCCAGGACCCACATCGGTCCTTGGTCATTAAGTTGTGACCCAAGTTGCACTGCAATGGAATGCACGGCATTGCGGTACCGCGCATTACGACGGTGCGGGTGATTGAACCGTGGGTGGGAGGTGCGTTTGGGGTGCCATTCAAATGAATGACAACGCAATGCACCCTTCCACATCAGAGTGCGTAGTAGGAGTGATTGTGTGGTACAGTGTGTTACTCTCCCAGGACTGTTCGATTAACACACTGTCCCAGTGTGAACGGGCTCTCAAAAACACTGACAGACACAAACAACCACAGACACAATCTCACACACAACCACAGACACAATCTCATACACACGTATACACTCTGAAAAAAAGTTTATTTCTCTTTTAAGATCCACCCAATCTCTCTACCTTACAAGAACTGGAGTCAATCCTCAGCCTGGGGTCCAATGTGGGCTGCTGTGCTGTGATGGAGCTCCATCCACGTGTGTATTGCTTGTATAACCCCCTTCCGCTCCCTGTAGAGATGCCTGGAGCTAGAACGTGATGTCACTCTGGTCCAGGCACCTCTACAGGGCCTGCGGGGAAGCTGTAAGCAATGCATGTATGGATGGAGCTCCCTCGCGGCCATAGCCCCACCCCACCTTAAGCTGACACTCGGCACCAAGTAGCATATGAATGCCTGTTGGCACGAGAACTGACAGTGCTGCACTAGGGGGAGGCTGAGAAGCCTCTCACCTAGAAAAGTGGAAGGTGCACGGGGACCCACTGAACACGAGGTCGCGACCCACTTTTGGGTCACGACCCACCAGTTGAGAACCAAGGCTTTAGAAGACCATCATAGACTGGAGACACCATTACATGAACCTGCTAGAGATCACTTCTATTACCACCCGTTCACAAATTAACACTTCCTTTATGCTCCCTACAGCCCCCTTAAACACATACTTTTGCCACATTTGATTTTACTCTCAGCATTATAGAAGATCAGTGGAAAAAAAATTATATTCGGGACGGCTTATACTCGAGTATATACGGTAGATCACAGCAAAAGATATTGTGAAAGAAACCAACTGAACTGTTTACCTACTAGAAGCCAGTATAATGAGTATTTTTCTTTAGTTTCTTGAAAAAGCATGCAAACACAGACTACCATCTTCAAGGACCCAGACAGTGAGACCGGAAGGGCCACATGTAGCCCCTCAGACCACAGGTTGTGACCAGGGCTTTTTAGCGTAAATTGCCACTGAAGGGGATCCCAGCAGCTTGGTTTTCCCTCTGGCTCTTTGTTCCCGAAATATTGTTCCTGAGGGTCAGCCTTGTGAGAACTGTCAAAGGGTGAGGATTTTATTTATTTGATATGCTTAAAACCAGAGATGCACCAATATCGTTTTTTCGGTTTGAGTAAGAGTACCGCTATTTTTTTTCCGGTGCTCACTGATACCGGAAGTCCCATTAATGAAGCCAGGCATCGTGTAATGACTCGCCACCCGGCTTCCCGATTAGCAGGGAAGCCGTCTCCAAGCTTCCTCGTCACCAGGTGGCCAATCATGAAGCCTGGGGTGGGTAATGACTCACCACCTGGCTTCCTGATTGGCTAGCTTCTCGACCAATCAGGAAGCCAGGTGGCAAGTTATTACACGGCGCCCGGCCTCCTGATGGCCAGAAAGCCGGCTCCACCTAGTGACGAGGGAGCATGGCGCTGTCTTCTCAGCCAATCAGGGAGCCGGGCAGCGTGTAATGACTCACTGCCCGGCTTCCTGATACCCGAAGTTTGGGTATCGGGCTAGGTATCGGAGCTATTGGGCAAGTACGAGTACCCGCCCAAATACTCGGTATCGGCACCAATACTAGTATCGGTGCGTCCCTATTTAAAACATTTAAAGCCTAACAACAGTGTGGTCTGCCCACCCTCTTTTTTGAGCATTTTATTTCATTGGATATTTGTATAAAACAATTAAGTGCATGTAACAAACTCCTAAAACTACTAGATGATCATCAGAATGAATTGTCACTACCATTTGTACATCATCTCTCCATTTGTCCCTATATTCTTTTGGATGTCCTAGGCCTTCACCAATTTCAAAGATTATATCTTACAGGACAACTTTTTGTTGATTGAAATTGATCTAATCTTTGAAGGTTGGCATTGCCGTCTGTCTCCACTTAAGAGTCCTATTATATTAAGACTTGTCTTCTGGTAACGATTCAGCTGTAGGTCTCCTGGCTTTGCCCAGGATGTGCCTTAGGAGAATAACATTCACTTGAAAGACTATAAATGTCAGTAATAAACAATGTAATCAATAACCAGAAATTATGGTCTGTTTAAAGTAGTTCCAGAACACAAGGAAAATGACCATTTGGGGTCTGACATGTCAAATAAAAACTATTCAAGAGGTTTTCCCAGTTTTGTTTGAAGTTGTGTAGTAAATCTGTTGAAAGTTTCTAATTTGAACTATAAAGATAGAACCATAGACCTATTTGTATTATGAAGAATTAGCACACTTTAGATACCTCCTCCTCTCTTTGTGTTGAAAAGTACTTGGAGCATAAAAAATCCAAACAAGGAGCAAGATCTTGTTTAGTTTTTGATGGTCTAAGGCAGGGGTGCCCACAATTTTTCAAATGACGAGCTCAATGAGATCTACCAGCAAAAAACACCTGCATTCAGGGGTGGGAGGGGGCGTGGCGGTGCATTGAAGTTAATGGCACCGCAGCCCTGCCCGCACCCGGAACGCAGGCACACAAGTGCCTGCGTTCCAGTCCAGTGCGATCTGCAAAAATGCTGCCAGCATTATTTTTGCAGATCGCACTGGACTGGAACGCAGGCACTTGTGTGCCTGCGTTCCGGGTGCGGGCAGGGCTGCGGTGCCATTAACTTCAATGCACCGCCACACCAGGGAGCTGGTGTACTATCAAAGTTTGTGACTGCCAGCATAATGCAGCTTTTACAAAGGGCAGATAAAACATTTGAAAACTCCTTGAGAAAACACTTCAGATCTGACCTTTGTTCATCACATCCTCTTTATAGAGTCTTCCTGGGTGTAGTACAGCCAATGACATAGTAACTTTACCCAAAGCTGCTATTATGGGTTGGCCACTGTCTACACCACCCATTTTTTTTTTTTTAT